CTCCACCGCCTTCAATCCACACTGACCACAATGGTGAAGTATAGTCACCCCCCCCCCCATTACGTGGGGTGGAATTGCAGGGGTCCCATTTATCCCCCCCCCCCCATCGCCATCACCCCGCCAGAATTTAACCCCCCCCCCCCCAACTCTTCACAGAATAACAACACGGGACTCGGAGCTGTTTTCGTTGTGCGTGCTGTTGTTGTTGTGTTATTGCTGTGGGTGGGGAGGGCGTTAGAGTTTTAATAAATGCAGGTGTCTGTCTGTACGTGGCACGGCCGTCTCGTTCAGCACGTTGGTAAACATCTATTTCATCACTCCTCCTAATGCGCACCGAACGCCCGCTGGGAGAATGCCCGATGCCTTTCGTCGGCAGGCCCTTTTGAAGCGTTTAAAGGGGAGCGAACTTGGCGGCGAGCGAGACCTTTTTGTTGTTGTTGTTGTCTCTTCCCCAAACAAAATATAAAAAGCGCACGCACGAAAGGCTCAGAGGATGCCTCTGAGGGGGCCATTTTCCGTAGGGCGGGCGACTGACCCACGGCGGCCTTGGCAGCAAATTAGCAATGCAATCATTTGGCCGGTCGCCTCGTAGTGTGGGATTTGTGGAGCTAATTGCTTCCATGCGCTTCAAAGTGGGGGTGGTGGTAAGGGGGGGGGGGCAAAAAAATGTGCACCTCTGGGAGGAAACGTCGCAGAGTGAGCCCACAGTTTTTGAAGCTCGTTACGCCGGCCGGAACGCGGTTCTGCCGTTCGAGACTAGAATATATTAGTGTCTTCAACGTGCCACACACTTTTTGTGTGTATGTGTGTGCTTGGTTCATCGTGAGGAATGATTTGCCATGTGGATCATTGCGCGCGCTCGCTCTCGCTCTCTCTCTGGCCGTGCTGTTTATTGTGGTGATGACAAAATAAATGAACAACCCGCGTTTTGCTCGTGCGGGATAGATTTACATTCGCCCGTACCGGTGGGTTGATGTAACGTGATGTTAGTAGCTTTTAGTTATTCTTAAATAGGGAGGAGAGAGAGAGAAAAAACAATCTTCGGAACACGACTCTCATGCAAATTCCGAATGCACCGCCGCGTTTCAAAGTAGGATGGAGGCACGCTGCCAAAATGGCGTTACTTTTATATATACTGCAGACTGTTGGGGCTGCGTGAGGTGTCTCGTTTCGTACACTGCAGTTTCTTGTTTCCCACGCACGTGTGTGTGTGTCCATGCACTTGTGGGGAGCGGTGGTGAAGCGGTGAGCGCTACGCTGCGCTACGAACCCGGCGGCCCGAGTTCGATTCCCGCTCACGGCCAACACCGGTGACGATTAACTGATCCGGTCCTGGGTATCCCCTAGGTCGACTCAGCCTCAAATGAGTACCTGGTGCGATGTATAAACATCGCCACTGGGGAGACAAAGGCGGCCGGGCGTGGTGTTGGCCACTGACCCGCTCGTGTGCCGTGCTGGCCTTCATAGGTGCTTGCTAACAGCACTTGTCCAACAGTCTGTTACAGGCTACACGGGGGGTCTTTGTCCATGCATTTGCATCAAACAATCAAAACAACATTCAAACATGTCAGGGCGTTGAAGTTGCATTGGACAATTGAAGAGCGTTTGTGTTGCGTGTGTGGCTTTTGTTAAATTCCTCAAAATTCTGCCAGATCTAGTCAGATGTCGTTGCATGTGTGTGCGTTGAACTTCTTTCGCACCATACGTAGCCAATCGTGCTAATAGGAGGTGCGATGAAAGGACAACAGACTTAACACAAAAAGCAGTTCTAAAGAAAGGAGTTTGTCAATCTGGATGACTTAAAAGTGAATATCTCCGGTGGCTTCCTAATATCGGAAGGAAGAGCGTTCCAGACGGCCGCGGAAACGCATCTGAAAAGCGCCGCGCGATGCGGTGGCCGTCTTTGTTCGGTAGTGTTAAGCAACAGCGAGCTAGCCTTGATGTCCTGGATACGGATGGTTGACCGCCACCCGCAGATTGCCACAGCGCTAGCGGGTGTCACGTGACGGTTATTGGACGGCAGTGCAAGCGAAACGAGTCGTCGTGCTGCGCGCCGGTGCTTCCACGGCTGTGCTCTCCGCAGCCTTCGCCAGCGACGCACTCGCTCATCAAGCTGTTGGCGACGTTCCAGTCGACACAGCGCTCGCGAACGACCACCGCGCGCTGGCACGGTGGTCGAGGCGTCACTCTGTCAGCAGCAGCAGCAGCGGCGGATTGACGAAGAGAGGGTTTCACATACACCAGCGGCTCTCTGAATATTTGAGTGCAGCCTTGCAACATCTTTGGTTCGCAATCGTTGAACAACAAATACATGCACAATGTTCATTAATGCCGAGTGTTCGATGAAAGAGAGTTGTCGTTCTTGCGTGCCCGGGCTTAATTTGCGTTTCCATTATTTACCTTCTCTGATAAAAAAACAAATCTGGTCATGTCTCCCACCCCCCATGAAGCCAGGATTTTCAGGTAGGGCAGGCAACCCCTCCAGCAGTGAAAAATGATAGAGGAGTTGTTAGTATGTAAGGACTTGTCCCTTGCTTTTTATTCGACGCGTGTGCGGCGATGGCGCAGCAATCGATCGAGGGTCGAATTCGAACCACGTTGTGTGATCGGCATCGCGCTCGCCGAAGGTGAATGCCTAATAAACCCGAATGATCCGATCGAAATTCGGGATTTCGATCGGATCATTGGGGGGGGGGGGGCACGTGCCACCCTACCCATCCCCCCACTGGCTGCGCGCAGCCCAGGTCAAGAAGCACTCCGCTCTGCACGTTCACTCGCATAGCGCACGGGGAAGGGGTGGGCTGTGTGGGGGACTGGGTGGGCGGGGAGCATCGGGGCTCTCCCCGTCAGTTATCTGGCGATAGAATCAGCACTTGTGGCGAGGATGTGTCACCGACTCTGGCGATGAGACGATACACGAGGGGCGCTCCTCCTTGAGCCCGTGGCGGCCAATTGAGAGTTGCTGTCTCGTCAGCGAGGCCTGCCCGCCCGGCAGTCGTAGAGTCAGGGGCAGGGCGACAAAGACAGTCCTCGTCTCAGGTCGTGTTTCCCCACTCTCGTTACTCGGCGCTCGTGCAAAGAGTTCGGGTGCGCGTGTGGGGGGGGGGGGAGGTCGTGGTACGTGTGTGCTTAACGGTGTCGGCGTCATTGTGCTGCTCGCCACGCGCGCTTCAAACAATCCGTCCTTCCCAGGTGCCTTTTCGGTTGCTGTCCGTTTGCTCCCCAAATGTCAAGCCGCTGTGCTCCGGTTAGCCGAATGCCGACGGCGAATACGTTGCATCGCGCGTGTTTCTGGGTTTTTGTCGCGTGACCCTGCATGACATCGCCCTCGGTTGCTCGTATCAATTTGGCCCCATCGATTGTGATGATCGTTTATCTGAAATGTGAAACGCCGATTTGTCGTTCGTGACCTTGTACAATGAGCTGCATTTGAACTGAATACAGCGGGTGCTTCTATAACTGCCATGAATTTGATGTATATCTAAAGAATAATACAATTAGATGCCACTGATGTCACTCGCCACTGATGTCAGCCGTGGCGATGAATCAAACTCAGATTGCTGTGATTAATGATGCGGATGCATTATACTCCACAAATTGACATTACGTCATAACGGATGATGCATCCGTGGCCACCCAGTGCACTATATAACAATGTATGATCGTCAGCAGTGCATGAGACTATAAGTGGGCAACGTCGTGTTTATCACACCGCATTAAGATCTTGGCAACCCAGAATCGATTAATTCACATCGGCGACAATTGGTATCTGAATGTGACCTGGGCACCCGCTAGGTTGACTCAGCCAGAAGTAAATACAGTGTTTGGCTTCAAAGCAGATCCTCCAATTGTCTGGGTCTCCTTGCCTTTGGATCCAGGTTCTGTCATGATCAAGCATCGTGTGGACACTGGCTCGAATCGACGGTGTCCTCACATTACTGCAGGCATCCTCCTTGAACTAAATATAAACAAGATATGCGGTTCCAGGATTGGTCTTCATCAGCCACCTGCGTAACCCACAAACCCTGGCCATCATTGCTGCGACACTCCCTTTGTCCATTGTGCCAACCCTAATGGGTGTGTAGAGAAGCAATCCATTACCGTGAATATGAGACTAGGTTTTAACCGTTCTGGCAATGAAACAGGTGTTTAGATGTTAAAACACCAAACTGATACCTTTTGCAAGGAATGTCTGCATTAACCACATACACTTGTGGTGAACATGCAAAATAAACACACTCTGGTCGTATATGATGTATTGTCTTTGAAACTGATTGGTCCACATCAGAGACAGCTTTTTTTAGAGCCTAGTCTCAAACGGTGTTAGACCAGAGGACGCCAATGCCAGCTTGCAAGCACTCGTAGCATTTCACGTGTATATATAAGCACGTGCGTGTGTGGGTGTATATGTAAAGCTGATTTAGCCTGACATGTGTACATGGTGCTGTGTGTAAACATCAGCACTGAGGTGGCAGGGCGTTGGTGCAAGCCACACCTACCTACGCCTTCGTAGGTGCTCGCAAACTAAAGCTGCTCTAACACCCTATAAGGGGAGCTTTGGCCTATGTATATATATGGCTTATGTATATGTGTGTGCCTATAACCAAATGACCCGGAATTCACGCCCGGTCTGATCTCAGAAGCGAAGCAGGGATGAGCCTTGGACAATGCTTGGATGGGTGACCACCGTGCAGTCGACAGCTGCTCTAGGCAGCTCCGGGGCTGCTTTGTCAGTCGAGGCCATTGCAGCAAAATCCAATGTTGTACTGTACTACGCTCCAGCATCTATGTTCTCCCCATTCACCAATTCGCAACCGACCCGACACCCTGAAGCGTGGTCAACGCATGCAACAGTGTGTGCGATGGGTCACAACCCCCCTCGTGCATCGAGAGAAGGGGCTCTCCGCGTTCCACCTTCACGCACGCGCCGGCGATGGGGAAGCCGTGCACTGCGAGCCGACCCGTGTCTCCGTGCCGCTGCGCGTGTCTCCGTGCCGCAGCGAGGAGACCGCGGCGTTCGTGGCGGCGGCCGGGTGCCTCGCCTGCAGCGTGCTGGCGGTCGCACGCGTCCCCCGCCACACCAAGTCCCCCTCCGTCCTCCTCGCGAAGGGAGACAAAGGTCAGTAGGTCACGTGACCGCCGCTGGGATTGTGCTTGTTGCGACCAAGTGGTGGTACGCCGGAGCGGATTACTGCTCTTTTGTGTATGATGAGAGTCATAATGATGACGACGATGATGACGATAACAACTCGCAGACCCTTGTTCATCCACTGCTGGATGAAAGCCTCCCCTAGGCCGTGTCGGTCACGGGAGTTGTTTGAGCCCGGCGACCTCGGTTTGATTCCCGGCACGGGGCCTCCCAGCAGCCCTTGCTAACACCAACCCCACACTCACCAGTCTGGTGAAGTATGGTCAAACAACCCCTATTATGACATGGCATAGGAAGGCCCTCATCCGGCTGTGGATTGGCAAACAGCTGCAGTAGATGGTTAGTTGTGAAAGTGGGATTATCAGTCATTGTCAAGTAACCGATCCCTATGAGGATAATATCCATTCCAAATATGAACCTTATGGGGGGACCCCGGGGTCCCGAATAAACGGAAGTCAAAATCGTAATCAATACATTTATTTTTGGCGACTCCGTCCCACCGCGCACGTAAACGCCGCGACCCGCCTGGCACGGATCATTCTGTTGTCATGTCGTGTCCAAGTGCAGCAGCGAGGACGAATGGGCAGGATCATGAGTCTTACCCAAAGCTGCTCAAACTGCCTACACCACTTAAGTCCTGTATTTGTCATCACGGTTTGCATAATACAGTGAAACTGCTCTCTTATCTTCATTATTATTTGTGACCTACCAATGTCTGCAGCCAGGATCAATCGATGACAATCCTATTACCTGCAGATATTTAACAGATGAGATGCGTTGCACCGTTACTTCCTCCTGTTTGATAATACTTCTCTTGTCCGTATGCATCTGTGCAGATGGGTTTTTGTTTTGCGTTTAAGCCATAATCCCCACATACCGCTCGTATCAATGCGGATAAGAGGAGCGGCGACCCACTATTCTGTAGAGTAACATCGGTATAAACGCTTGTTACGATATGAACATCGCATTGAAAACGCGCTCTATTTTATGTTTTGTTTACAAAGTGTGTTCACAAATCCACACTGAGAAACACGATGATTGACAGAGGGGTGCAAATTCTTTTTTCTATAGTGTATTTAAATAGAGGTACTGCAGGTAAGTAGTTTTCAATTGTAAAGGCATAGTTTAACAAGACAACACTTGCCACCATCCTTCAAACCCATTGGTGAAAACGAGCAAAGTTTTTGTTCACATCACAATATGTTTACGCGAGAGCCGGGGGGGCTTATGGGTCCCCGGGGTCCCACCACGAGGTCCACATGTATTTGTAGAATGAACATCTCTTCATGAATCCTCTGCCTGGATGAAACACTCTCCATGCTCCATCAGGGATTGGCTATGCGTCACCACGCCGGTCAGTGCGAGTTGGTGAAAGTGGTGCGGGGGGGGGGGTGAAGTTCAGGCTTGGACTGGTTCAGATATCACTCGCCACTGATGTTAGCCGGGAATCAAACTCGGGGTCACCGTGGCACATGGCGCAGCACGCAAACTGCTCGAACCGCCGCTCGCCCAGTGAGTGAATATTACTCGCTGCTGAGATACGGGACAGTGAAGGCGTTGGCGTAACGCGTTAATGGACCTACGTGTCGCCTATTTTTGTGGAACAAGCGGCGATATTAATAACCGCAGTGACATCTGGAAAGCTTCAGTATCAAACGTCGTGTCGTGTAGCAACTCGATGAGCAAATCAGAATATGAATTTCTTATTCTATCGCACAGATTCACTTTCCGTTTTGTTTTACATATTAAAAAAAATGTTTTTATTACGAATGCAGAGCAGCATTTCGCCTTGCACATTCTAGGGACTTTGAGTATCGCAGTTTTAATAATTGAACAAAGGCTGAGAGTGTTGAGATGTGCGGCTGGGATGCAATGGATAACCCTGAGGGCTGAAGTGTTCTCTGAAGTGTACTTTGAAGTCTACTCTGCTGTGCCATTCAGATGAGTCAACGGGCATCTTCAACGTACAGAAAATAGTCCAACTGCTGAAGATCCCAGGAACACTGCAGATTTTCACCATAAAGACCATCACCGGATTACCAGTAGGTAAAAAAAAAATTCGCTGACTCCCTTCACACTGTTTACACTGGCCTGTTAATTTCGCTGCTTCTACAATGTAACGCCCAAGACAGGCAGCTTGCCCAACAGCTGCGGGCAAGCGTTCAGGTAAGCTCTGGTAAATGTTTGTCTGACACCGTGGGGTGTACATAGCGAGGCGACTTGACACGAGTGGCACACATACCACCAGACCCAGCAGAGTCTTTGCACTTGACCACCACATCCGTCATCCTGCTGTAGTCCGCTCAATAGGATATTGGCACACGAAAGCGTGCCACACCAAATGACATCATCATCAGCAGCAGCAGCCTTGATCTATCCACTACCGGATGAAGGGCTCCCCACTCCGGCACCACCCCCACACAGTCTGACAATGCCGTAACCCATCTCGCTCCTACATGTGAACCGATGCCATCTCTCCTCCGTGGTGGCGGTTACCCGCCTCGGGTGTCATCTTCCTCTTTGGCTGCCTTCTTTCTCTCGCCGGTCTCGTCCATCAGCAATATTCAACTCCGCGCACAAAAGAGGGCGGCGTAATTAAATGCGCGATGCCGGGTAAATGCCTTGTCCCGTGCTGCAAACTTTCTTTATTTTTTTTTTAAGTTCCCTCTGGATTTAAGACCACAGCGAAGAGAGCGGGGGCATGGGGTAGTGGCGTACATGTGCACGCCTGCGCTGAAACCAGTGAGCGTTTTATATTCTTAGGTTTTTTTCGGTAAAGTCACGTAGGTAAAAAAATTTAATTAATAAAAGTAAAATTAAAATAAAATTAAAATCACGACGTTTCGGAGGCAACACAAGCTTCCGTCTTCGAAACGTCGTGATTTTTATTTTATTTTTATTTTACTTTTATTAATTACATTTTTTTTACCTACGTGACTTTACCGAAAAAACCTAAGAATATGAATCTTTGCAGTCACGAAAGCCTCAAATCCAGTGAGCGTTTCTTCACCCCCACGAGTTTTGCAGTTCACGTCATGCGCCCGGGCATTCAGAGCTCCGAGCGAGCGAGCGAGGAGCGAGCGGGCGAGCGGTTCGCTGGCTGCAGCCCGTGCCAGGCCTGTGTGACGTTTCACACAAAGGAGACGGCGCGCTGTTTCCACGCGAACATTCTCACGTATATTTATAGCGGTGGGAAGCGGTGAACGCCCGTGCCCTGGTAATGTCACTTTGCAATTACGCGACCGCTTCAGCACCTTTCTCCGCAAGCCAGATTCCACATTTTTAAGGAAGTTTTTTTTTTTGTCAGCACAGGTGGCCCGGAGAAAAGTTGGTGGAAATTCCACATTGCTTTGGCGGAGGCCAGTCTATCGTCTATCTGGTGTTGAAATTCATTCCACTGTCAGCGGTATATGTTTCGGTTGTCATAATGTATTGTGAGAAATTGTAACTATTATTAGAAAATGCCTGTGAAATTTCACAGTTAATGTTCCACCAAAGACGACATTTGTCATCTTACAGACTTGTTCACACAGAAAGACAAGTATTCCCCATATAGCCGTCAAGAAACTCTTGGGGCGAGTGCTATTAGCGAGCACCTATTAAGGCCGGCATGACACAAGAGGGGGTGAGTGACCAGCACCACGCCAGGTCGCCTTTTTCTCCCCAATGCTGATGTTTACACACCGCACCGGGTACTCATTTGAGGCTGAGTCGACCTAGGGGAGACCCAGGATTAGTTCAGATAATCGTCACTGGTGTTGGCCATGAGCGGGAATGGAACTCCAGTTGCTGGGTTTGTAGTGCAGTGCGCTGACCACTACACTACCACTCCCCACGACACACACATACATACTATGGGAACCTCATTTGCCAGTAAAAATATGATAATTGGTTTTTTACCCTTCTATCTGGCAATATAAGGGTAAAAAACCAATTATCACACACATACATGTTTACTAACATACATACACACATATATTTAGACACAAACACACATAACCATTATCATTAGCCATGATCAATCCACTGCTGGATAAAGGCCATACTACAACAACAAAAACAATCGCCATTCACTACTTGGCGGTGACATCACCACAGCACTTGTGCCAGGCTATGTGCACGTTAAGGCCAAGTGAAGTGTCGAATGCCCACTGGCAGGAGGTCACGGGACAAACCCAGGTGCCACAGGTTGACTGACTGGGATGACTGGCCGATGCACCACCTGTGCCCCCTACTGTGCCAACTTGCTGCGTTTTAGCCACCCGGCGCTCTGCTCGTTGTTGTGAGTGTCGGTCCTCTGCCCTCCATACAAACACCTATGCTCACGCATATACTTATACACACATATACTAATAACAACAACATTCAGCCCTTTCTCAATCAAATATTTAATGATGGCCTCCTTTTTACCAGATTTCACCACGTTTCTCTTTATGGGTATTACCAAGATCTTAAAATGTTGGTTGGCAAACGAGGGGGCCAGAGGTGGTTAAGATATCAAGTGCCACTGATGTTTATCATGGACAGCAATCACACTCAGGATAGCTGATATGATGTATATAATTATACTCACAACTTACAATCCCATATAGACGCACACATAATAATATCATACAAATACCATCCTATACCTACACCCACATACAGCCATTTACTGATAAGCATATACTAATGTGCCGTATAAACACATGTATCCTCATGCATGTGCCCTCGCACGTACATTCACGCACATTTACACAGATATATGAATACACAACCCAGGTGGACGGACACATGGATGGCCACCTTAAAATTTGGTTTACACAAATATAATATATATAATGATGAGTAGGGGAAGTGGTGGCACAGTGGTTGGCGTGCTGCGACATGAATCGACCTCGGTTCACCCGAGTTACAATCCCGGCGCTGGTAATATCAGCGGCGTGTGACATCTAAACTTGGCCTGCACCCCCCACCCCCCTCACCCACCACCCGCCCCCCCCCACAAACCCACGTTACAAACCCACACCGACCAGCATGGTGAAGTATGGTTAAACAACCCCCCACAGTGGTCATTGTCCTTCCGATGAGCACGGTAGGCTACGTACGGTGCGAAAGAAGTCCAACACACACGTGCACACATCCAGCAGTGGAATGAGAGGGGAATCTGTGTAGGTTATTGTGTACAGCGTATGCAATGGAAGGTTTTGGAGCTAAAAAAAAAATTTGCCCAATTGTATCCTGGCTTGACACACGCAGAGGGCATGTTAGGCTCCGATGTTAATCACACGCAAACAGTTGGTACTGACATCGGCTCCACATGCAGCGGAAGCGTCTAAATAATGAAATAATAGCGACCGCCGACTTGTAAGTTCTTCGGTATGTCCGGACAACTGCGCCGCTATTGCGCCGCTCGTCCTATTTTTAAAACGGATGACCACACGGGCAGCGTGCGCATTTGAATCTGTCGCGACTGCCGTGCAGCGGCGTGGTGCTTCTCAACCGTTAAAACCTAACAGTATGAATCCTTGCAGTCACGAAAGCTTCAAATCTAGAATTCTCAACCGTTATCTCTACACACGGCGCATCTCTGCGGTGGCGAGCTTGTTAACTACCTCGCCCGGTGTGCAGGAGGTCGTGGGTTCGATTACGAACCTGACGCCTGCTGCTGCTGTATATTTGGAGTTTGCGTGTCTCTCTCTCTCTCATCATCCTCATATCATCATCACGGTGTCTATGATATGTTAACTACCTCGCCTGGTGTACAGGAGGTCGTGGGTTCGATCACGACCCTGACGCCTGCTGCTGCTGTATATTTGGAGTTTGCGTGTCTCTCTTATCATCCTCATATCATCATCACTGTGTCTATGATATGTTAACTACCTCGCCTGGTGTACGGGAGGTCGTGGGTTCGATCACGACCCTGACGCCTGCTGCTGCTGTATATTTGGAGTTTGCGTGTCTCTCTTATCATCCTCATATCATCATCACTGTGTCTATGATATGTTAACTACCTCGCCTGGTGTGCAGGAGGTCGTGGGTTCGATCACGACCCTGACGCCTGCTGCTGCTGTATATTTGGAGTTTGCGTGTCTCTCTCTCTCTCATCATCCTCATATCATCATCACGGTGTCTATGAAATGTTAACTACCTCGCCTGGTGTACAGGAGGTCGTGGGTTCGATCCCGACCCTGACGCCTGCTGCTGCTGTAGATTTAGAGTTTACGTGTCTCTCTCTTCCATATCATCATCACAGTGTCTATGAGATGTTAACTACCTCGCCTGGTGTACAGGAGGTAGTGAGTTCGATCCCGACCCTGACGCCTGCTGCTACTGTATATTTGGAGTTTGCGTGTCTCTCTCTCTCATCATCATCACAGTGTCTATGAGATGTTAACTACCTCGCCTGGTATACAGGAGGTCGTGGGTTCGATCACGACCCTGACGTCTGCTGCATATTTGGAATTTGCACGTTCCCCCCGTGGTCGCGTGGAATTTTTTTTCTGCGGGTCCTCCGGTTTTTCCCCTCCGCATTTAGAATCAGCATCACCCGTTTCGAGTATTTGGTTGCAATGCATTTCCACATTGATAAGCCACTTCGCTGAGTTATCATTTGTGTCCAGGTCACTCCTGAAAATGAGCAATATAGCTCAGTGGGCCTTACCTGATAAAATAAAATGAAATAGTGAAATATGTCCACCCCTACCTTCCCTAGCTGCCTGCACAGTATATTAAAAACGCAGCGATGAATTACATTTAGAGCTCAACCCAATGTGGATTTCCCCCTTCACCGCCACAGTTATGAAAAACCACAGATTTACAAGGGAAATCAGTGTAGATTGAGCACACTTTAGGACATTTTTAAAGGTCGAACGGTTTGTCATACTTTGCATAATGTTGTCAGTGTCAAGAAGAATTGTACGTGACTATGTACGTGGGCATGTGGACAAAGACAAAGATTCCCCGTATAGCCTTAACAGACTGTTGGGGCAAGTGCTGTTAGCGAGTACCTATGAAGTCCGGAACGGTACACGAGGGGGTGGGTGACCAGCACCACGCCCGGCCGC